AAAAAAAAAAAAAAAAAGAGGAGCAGGTGGGGAGTTAGTGTTTAATGGGTACAGAGTTTTAGTCAGAAAAGATGAAAAAGTTCTGGAGATGGATTGTGATCATGGTTGCAAAGGAATGTGAATGTACTCAGTGCCACAGAACTGTACACTTAAAATATGTACACTACAAATGTATCCTAGACAATCTGTGAGGGAAATGAAGGCAGTAGAGGCTGTTTTCACTAATCCTTTGCCTTAGATAGGATAGCCTTCAAGATGACTCCAGTGATCCTCACCTCCTAGTACTCACTCCTCTGTACTGTCCCCTTCCACACTGACCTGGGTAATTAATAGGATACAGCAGAAATGACCTTCCAAGACTAGATCATAAAAGACACTGCAACTTACAACTGGTTCTCTCTTGGGGAAGTGAGCTACCATGTGGTGAGGACACGCAAGCATCCTATGGAGAGGTACAGGGATGGGACACTGAGGCCTCCAGTCAACAGCCAGCATTCACCTGCCAAGCAGTTGAGGGGACACCTTGGAAGTAGATCCCCCAGCAGCCCCAGCTGACACCTGGGCTGCAACTTCATGACAGAGCTGAAGCCAGAATCATCCAGCTAAGCCGCTCCCTAATTCCTGACCTACAGAAACTGTGAGATAATGTTTTACAGTTGTTTTAAGCCACTACGTTTTGGGATAATCTGTTACACAGAAATTGATAACTCAGACAGATGGCATGAGGACCCGTCATCAACTGCCTGAGGCTGGTGGTGTCTTCAGTCACTTATATATCTCAATTTGTTCCTGGGATTACATCACAGGTACTTACAGATATTCTGAGACCCCATTTAGATAAAGTTGCATTTACCTTTATATGTTTTGAATACCCAACAGGTATTCTTAGGAAAAAGTATTTCCCAAGATTGGAGCAGCAGTGCAGAATTTCAGACACTTAAGGCTGGGAAGAATAATTCCTAACATAATATACCTTGTCAGATAATGTGAAATTTGGTGAAATACTTAAAAATCTGAAGACAGGCCAGTGTATTAAATCATTTTACTCCTTAATGTATGTGAATTCTTTTTAAATATATTTGTATAAAAAAAGGCAAAAAAATAAATAAATGAAGGCATGAAAGAAATGGGGTGAAGAAAGAGAGCGAGAGTGAGAGTGTGAGCGAGAGAGAGAAAAAAGGGAGGGATGGAGGAAGGGAAAAAGAGAGGAAAAGAAAATGAATTTAAGAACTTTGTCAGAACCATCTTGTTTTCTCTTGGCCCTGTGTGTGTACCCACCTAGAATTCTAATTTCTGCATCTGTGAGTCTCCAGTTTTTCAGCCCAAGTTTGACGAGTTGGGGGGCCCCCTCCAGTTGCTCCAACAGCCTCGTCAGACTGACTCGTACATCACTCCACCAGGGCAGCATCAACACCGTTAGCTCTTCCAGGATGTGCAGCCTGCCAACTTGAAAAACCAGAGGCTGGTTCAGGAATTGGATGCATCTCAAAACTGATGAAGGGATGTGGGAGCTTACTCAATGTGCAGTGAGAATCGACTTGTTTTTTGGTTAATGTTTTTACAGAAAGTGCTCAAGAATATACAAACATCATTCAGGATAGTGTGATGAAACTGTATGTACTAATAAGCCAACTTTCAACAAACATCAAATCATGGACGGTCTTGCTGCATCTTCACCAAATTCCTGCCCTTCTGTATCATTTTGAAGCAAATTTCAGATAGTATGAGTTCTTTTTTAATAAACATAATTACAATATCATTATCACACCTTAAAAATCTCATCACTAGCTCCTTAAGCAAATTCATCCTAAACATCATTTACTCTCAGACACTAGATGCCTAGAAGGAGCCTCGGGGGCAGTGAGTATGTGAAAACTGCCGATTCATTAGCCATGGGCCTGTGTTCCTTAAGGACAGTTTAAGAAAGAGCAACATGACTTCCTTAAGGTGCACCTAATCAGGCAGAATTGTCATTCTTACTCAGTTCATGTAGAGCTTCGTTTCCATCGTTTTCCAAGTGATTTTCAGATAAGTCAAGAATGCTCAGTTTGGCCAAATTGTGAAGATTCTGAGCTGGAAGAAAATTTTAATCCAAAATAAAAAAGACTTATCAGGAAACCATATGTGCATTTTAAAATATCCTGAGAGAAATTCTGAGCCTTTGTCTTCTTTGTTGATAGTATACAAATCATTATTTAATTTGATTCATTGAATTATTCCCCAAAGGTCTCTGGATAGGTTTAACCCCGAACTCCCATAACTGTGACCAAATGGATAGATAGTTCCTACTCCTAAGTTCTGACTAATAAACTTCAACTCACATAAAGCCTAAAGTATCATAAAATATAGTTGCTATGTCACTAGAGGAAAGTCATTCCATTTCTCTAGCCGCAGTGTCTTCATCTTTAGAATGAGGAAATTGAACTAGATAAACTGCGAGGTTGCTTCCAATTCTTAAATGACCTTACCATGCAGTAGAAACAAAGGGACAAAAAACAGATGCGATGAGCTGTTTTTTGTGTACCTCAGTTTGGATGTTTTTGTTAATGTCATAGTTGTGATGTTAATAATAAAAAATAAGATACTGGGCCGGCCGAGTGGCACATCGGTTAAGAGTTGGCTTGGGACGCCAGCTCTGAGCACCAGGGCTCCAGTTCAGATCCCACATGCGGGCCAGTGACTCTGTGCCCTCTCCAGCTATGATGATGAACAACAGCTCAACCTGGAGCTGGGCTGCCGTGAGTCGCCGGTGACGGCATAGGCAGCAGTGGGGCTGGCCAGCAGCTGGCATGTGCTTTTGTGAGCGGCCGTCCAATTGCCAGCGAGCGACTGCCTCACCCGGGAAGAGCACTATGATCATACCAACATGGGACAGTGAAGTGACATTATCCACAACTACACTGAAGACCAAAAGGACAGCAACTTGTCTGTTCCCCTTCCTCGATTCCCCAACGCTGTTCCCCTACCCCATTCCCCAATAAAATATTTTTTAAAAATAAATGAATAAATAAGATACTAAAAACATGAATCATAAAATTCTATCACTCTAGCTAAGAACTGCTTAGTTCTATTCTTCACTCCAGATGACAGGTATCCCCCCTTTTCCAAAATTAGGTTACACCACTTCACAAAAGACCTACATTAGTACCTGTTTTCACTAACTGAAAGAAAGCCAAGAGGATTTTTGCTTTTACAAAAAAGGCGAAAAGCAAAAATAGTGTTCACCATTTGTTCTGCAGGAAGCCTACAGAGGCAGTGAGAGTGGCCCCGCCAAGCTCCTTCCTGGGAACCACACGCCACATCTCAGCATCAAATCACCAGAGCTTTGAACTATGTCGGTGAGTATCTGTGCTTGACCTTAATTTATTTTGTGCACCTGTTAGCACGTGTGTCCTAAGGTATCAGAAAAGCCTAAGAGAGGTTATGTTTTGGGCCTGGGAATGCTAAAATATTTTGCATAAAAGTTAATGGTGATTGATTCTTTGCTTAGTGCCATCTCAGCTTACGAAAGTTTTCATAAGAGTGCTCTATTTTCTGATAGTGGGGAAGCCAGTATTGATCATGGCTGCTTAATCTACTTGAAGTTTTTCCTATCAAGATTGAGTAGAAAAATCTCCTTTAAAAAAAATGAGTCGTTTTTCATGAATATATACTCTTATTATAATATAGCTGTTATTATTATCATTATTATTATTATTTTAGCTGAGCCATCCTGGCACCTGTTGGCAGCTCAGCAGCAACTCAGCTCGGGCTGGGCATCGAACCGCTGTTGCTCAGAGCTCACACTCTTGAGTGAGCTCTTAACCAACTGAGCCACTCGGCCAGCCCAAGCTGTTATTATTTTTAATCATATGAATCCTTTTCTTAGAGTAAAATATCTTTGAGGGGTTGGTGCTTCAAAGTAAAAAACCTACGGAACTTCTCTTAAAAGAGTACATTTGCTATTTTTAGTTCTAAACATGTCTGTCCCCAGTGACAAGTAGAGAAGTACAGGAGGAGTGTGCTCATCATTTTCAGGCTCCCAGTGCTTTTCTAGCCTTTTCTAATCATGGGTTTCTCTAGCTTTTGGTTCATGTTAGCATATAAATAATCTTAGTATCCTTACAGACTCCAGGCAGTTTTATATTCTGTTTTTAAAAGGGTTATAACCATCTTTTTTCCCAAAATCTCAATTTAATAAACATCTGAATTGAACATATCTATTATAGTTGATCCAGTAATATGCAAAGGTCTTTCCATACTTGGTATGCATACCCTTGAGGAACTCAAAAGACTCAACTCTTATATTAATAATGCACATCAATCAACTTTATCTGAACAGGGCAGTGGTAAGAATTGGAAGACCTGAGAACATTTAAGGAAATCCTTCACTCTGCTTCTCAATCATTTATTTACCCATTCATCCAAATACTTATTAAGCAATTATTATATAACTGGATATGTGCCAAGTTTCAAGTGCCTACTTATTTTCTTCCTCTTCACCTTCTCTTAAAATTATAACATCTTCTATTCTGAAATTGTCTATTATCCATCTATAGTACATTTTCATTTCAACCATGGAGAAAATAATTAAAAGCAGGCTAGATATTACTTAGAAGCCTTTATTATCTTTTCTAGTCTCTCTAAAACTGAAATTTCCTCTTGAGAGACGTAGCATGCATTACTATAAAAGTGTCACATGTTCTCTCTTACACTGTTCTTGTGCAGTTAATGCAGGCAATAGTTACCTAGGGTTTTCACAGCATTTGCCGACAGGCAGCAGGAAACTAATTGAATTTCTTCAAGTTCACAGGGTTCGGCTGACAGAGACTGTATTATATAATCCACTCCCTCCCCAATGTCAGACAAGTGGGTCAAACGAAGTAAACACATATTCTTCAGGTTTGTCAGACCTTCAGCTGCAAAAAGATGGAAAGGAAATGCATTAATATACCAAGTTAATTCGATATTACCATAGATTATTGGGCTGAAAAGAAGACCAAGAACAATTACACAGAGCCCTTGCCATGCTCTTTTTGTCGACACCTTAAGTTGTAGAAAGCCAAAGAGAGTAATTTTTCTTTCAACTATCACTGTCCAATCTCCTGGACCACACAAAGATCACTTATGTGGAGATCATTCTCTTAGTAGCACGATAAAAACTATAGTAAATGTGTAGTATTTTAATGGGTATCAACAGATACCTTTACCATAACTTTTTTCATAGAATGAAGTCTTCTAAATGAGCACTCTCTCCTTAGAATCTCCTCATCAATCTTAGAAGGGGTGGAGGCTGAATTTAGAGGGGCAGCATGGGGACTTCAGTTCCTAGGTATGCTTCTAGTGTAACTATTTACGGCCTCAAAAGAGCCTTGCTCGTGATTGCAATGATATGGGGCCTGCCTGATGCTTTACAATGAAGACCACACCCAATGCAGCATGTTCCACCAGGAGAAAGACTTACCTTATGTCAATAGTACAACTCAAAACATTCCAAAATGTCCCTCATTCTTAGGTGTAAAGCTGATGTGGACTTTAGGATGGATTAGGTATACCTTTGTGTCATTAAAATATTTCTTTATCTTGATGGTACTCTAACTAGAAGAAAGAAATTTTCTGTTTTAATAGTATCTACCTTGTAGAACTTTGGGAAAGTTGCAGATAATGTATGTAATCTATTTAGTATGATGCCTGGCACATAGTAAATGAATATTAATTGACTTGGGAGTACACGTAGCTCAGAGGTTGTGAACATGAGCCCTGAAGTCATTTTGATTTCTGGATCCTGTACTTAATAATTGTGTAACTGTGGGACTGTTGCGAGGATTCAATGAGAAAAAATATGTAAAAGTGCCTAGTACAGTGTCTAACCTATTACCCAGTAATTCTTTAATAAACAGTAAATTTAGACAGGTTTATTCAAGTCCAGACTTTGATTCCTTAATAGTAAAGCCAGATTGTCTCAGATAGGTGGGTTTTGTTTTTTTTTTGATTTTTTAAATTGGGGAACTGCCATGGTCATTGGTTACGCATTGCTTTCATGCTACAATGGCATAGTAGACTCTTTTAGGGAGGACGCAGCTCACAGTGGCCCATGCGGGGATCAAACCAACAACCTTGGTGTTATCAGCACCATGCTCAAACCAACTGAGCTAACCGGTCACCACTCAGATAGGTGTTTTTGAACTCTTTCTACCGATTGGTGAGAACTTAGGCAAGTCAATAAACTTCTAGTTTCCAGTGGCAGTAAAATGAGAGTTAAACTAGATGCTCTCAGGCTTCTTTGAGCTCTGATATTTGTGTAACTTATAGGCATGCAATAAATATTTACTGAACACTGAATTAATTTTATTATTGTCAGGTAGGCTATATAATGAAACAAAGGACAGCCATGTTTTAATTATAGGATAGGGTTGTTTTTGGGCAAGGAGATCGAAAAAAATAAATAAGGCCGAGGAGCATTTAGCTGAGGGCTCAAACAGGGGAAAATAAACAGCCAATAAAATAAAGAAAAAGAGACCCCTGTTCCCCACCCCACCCCACCAGCACCACCACCACCAAAAAAAGGCAGGGACATTGGGGAAAAAGTTTCAACAGGAATCCTCCCTGAACTGGAAGACAAATTGTGTGTTCTGCTTATGTTCCTGAAGTTTTCTTGATCCACATTCATCCTTGTGCTCCATTCCATTTATGAAGTTTTATTTAGTTATAAAACCACAATATAAACTTTTTATATTGTTTATATGTGTTAAATACAAATATAGTCAATAATTTATGAAGTTTTATTTAATTATGAAACCACAGTATAAACACTTTACATTGTTTCTGTGCTTTGAATCAGCCAGGGAGATAAAGACATATCATGGATTCTGTCCTCAAAAGGGTTACAATATAGTGGTGTACAATTTGCATAAAATGGTGCTGAAGGATTGGAATGGGAGTAGAGAAAACTGTCTAGGAAAACCAATGTAGCCACAAATACATAAAGGCTTCCTTGCCTTATATAGATACAGCCAGTACCAGAGTCCTGTGTTAACTCTTCTTATTATCAAACTTACATTGATAAAAAAATTAGAGGAAACAAAAATCTGACCTAGTTTTATAGCATCTTCCTCATTCATCTTAATGTTATCCAGTGTAAGCTTCGTGAGGTTCTTCAAATTACCCAAGCTGTCAGTTAGACCACCTGCCAAAAGGAAAGAAATTGGACTGTGTTCAGCTGTCATTTACTAAATTTCTGTTACCAGTTAAAAGATTTTAGTTGTCACCATCGACAAGAAATGCTCATGAAATTGACACAAAAATATATGTTTTTGGTCAGAGATGGACACCTTCCTGAGCTAAAAGCTTGTTCTCCAAATATAAATGGAATCAGACTGGAAAAAAAAATCACAGAAAGATAACAGGGAAATCTCCAAACACTTGGAAATTAAACAACACACTTCTAAATAAGCATGAATCAAGTAAGAAGTGTCAAGGAAAATTTGAAAATATTTTGAAAAATATAGAAATTTAAAAAATATATCAAAATCTGCAACTAAAAGACTGATTAGAGGGAGGTTTACATTATTAGATGCTTATATTACAAATGAGGAAAGGTCTCATCTGAAACCTTACTATTTAAGAAATAAGAGAAAGAAGAGCAAAATAAACCCAATGCTAGAAGAAGGAAGAAAATAATAAAGATCAGGGTAGAAATGAATAAAAATTGGAAACAGATAAATAATAGGAAAAAACAATGAAAAGGGATGTAGCTTTGGAAAGATCAATAAAACTGATAAAATTCTAGCAAGACGGACAAAGAAAAGAGGAAGAACAATTACCAATATCAGACACGAAAGAGGATATCACTACAAAAACTGCAGATATTAAAAGAATAGAGACTAATGTGAACTAATCTATGCTCATAAATTTGACAACATAGATGAAATTGCCCAGTTTTTTGAAAACCACAAACTAGTAAAACTCATACAACATGACTTTGGTAACCTGAATAGTCCTATATAATTACTAAGGAAATTGAATTTGTAGTTTACAACTTTCCAAAAAAGAAATCTGTGGGCACAGATCATTTAACTTGCAAATTCTACCAAACATTCAAAGAAGAAATAACACCAATTGTATAAATCACTTCCAGAAAATAGAAGTAGAGGGAACAATTCCCAACTCATTTTATGAAGCTACCATTACCCAATATGAAACCCAGATCAAGAGAATAAACCAAAGGAAATTTCAGGCCAATATCACTAATGAACATAGATTCAAAACTCTTCAACAAAATATTACCAAGGAATCCAGTCATATATAAAAAAGAATATTATACTACCACCAAGTGGACTTCATACTAAGAATGCAGGGCAATATTTGGGACTTAATCCATGTAATAGACTATATTAACCATTTAAAGAAGAAAAACTACATGATCATATAAACTGATGCAGAAAAAGTATTTGATACAATCTAACATCCATTCATGATAAGTATTCTCAGCAACCTAGGAACAGAAGGAAATTTCCTCAACCTGATAAAAGGCATCTACAAAAAAATTACAGTTCACATCTTACTTAATGGAGAAAATCTGAATACTTTCTCCCAAAGATCAGGAAAAAAGTCAGATGTTCACTCTCACCTCTCTATTGAACATTGTACTGCAAATCATAATTAGTGCAATAAGGCAAGAAAATGAAATAGAAGGAAAACAAATTGAAAAGGAAAAAACAAAATTGTTATTTTTGGAGGTGATATAATTGTCTATGATAAAAATTTCAAGGAATCTACCAAAAAAAAAAAAAACCAAATCCCCCCAAAACTCCCAGAACTAGTAAAGGAGTTTAACAAAGGTGCCGAATACAAGATCAACACACAAAAACCAATTGTATTTCTATCTAGTAGCAATAAATACCATTTATAGTAGCTCCAAAAGAATGAAAAGGTTAGGTATAAATCTATGAAGCATATACAGGTTCAACATGATGAAAACTACAAAATGATGATAAAAGAAATGGAAGAACGTCTTAAAAATTGGAAAGAAGAAACCATGCAAATGGATCAAAATATTCCACATGGTAAAGATGTCATTCTCCCTAAATTGGTCCATAAATTTAATGTAATTCCAACCAAGATCCCAGGAAGTTTTTGATGATATAAACAATGTTTCTAAAATTTATATGGAAAGGGAAAGGAACTAATATAAAAAAACAATTTAAGAAAAAAGAAAGAATAAAGTTGGAGAAATAACACTATCCAATTTTATGACTTACTATAAAGCTACAGTTACTAAGACATTGTGGTATTGGCCAGAGGTAGACAAGGGTATTGGCAAATGATAGGTCAATAGAAGAGAGTCCAGAAATACACCCACATAATTATAGCCAAATGATTTTGGACAAAGGTACAAAGGCAATTCAAACATGAAAGAATAGCCATTTCAATAGGTAGAACAACTGGATATCCATATGCAAGAAACATGAACCTTGATAGAAGCTTCACACCTTATACACATGTAACTCAAAATGGACCACAGATCTAAATGTAAAACATAAAACTGAGAAGACAGGAGAAAATCTTCATGACCTGAGGTTAGGCAAAAAAAATTCTTAGACATGACACCAAAAGCATGATTCATCAAAGAAAAAATGGACTGCAACAAACTTTAAAACTTTTGTTCTATGAAAGACACTATTAAGAGAACGGAAAGACTAGCTACAGATTGGGAGCAAATATTTTCAAATCAGTTGTGATCTGAATGACAAAGGACTTGTATCCAGAATAGATAAAGGACACTCAAAACTCAACATTAAGAAAACAAGTAACCCAACTGAAAGGTGGGTAAAAACCTCAAGGGGCACTTCACGTAATGGGATATGTAGTTGGCAAACTAGCACGTGCTAAGTTTTCAACTTTTATCAGCCAACTATGATGAAATAACACTACACACATAATTCCAGTTGCTCCACTTCCTCGGCAGCACTTAATATTGTCTGTTTTTTTCTCCTTATTGTAGAATGACAAAAATTGAAAAATATGGAGAATACCAAATGCTAGTGAGAATGCAGAGCAACTAAATCTCTCACATATTGCTGTTGGAAATATAAAATGACACAAACTTGATAATAGTTTAGAAGTTTCTTTGAAAGTCAAAGGACCACTTGTCATATGGCTCAGCAATCCCACTCCTAGGTATTTAGCCAAGTAAACTGAAAACTTATTTTCACACAAAAACCTGCATGAAAATGTTTATAGTAGCTCTATGCGTAATTGCCCAAACTGGAAATAACCTACATGTCTTTCAATGGTGACTAGATAAACTGTAGTATATCCATATAATAGAATACTGTTTAGGAATAAAAAGGAATGAACTAGGAGGAATCTGAAGGGACTTGGAGGGCAAAAATAGACATAAACCTTGGGTATAAACGACAGGGAACTGGATTTTAGCCATAAGAAAGAATAAGCACTGATTAAAATCAAATGGCAAAGGGGTCAGGGAGATAATGTTATTACAAAAAGTAGAACGGGTGGGCTCTGGGCTCTGGAGACTTTGTGTCTCGTACAAGGAGCATAGGAGCAAATCATGAAACTCTCACAGCTTGTTTCCAAGTGAGGACATGGGACCTGTTTCCAAATCTACAATTTTCAAGACAAGTGAAAAACTTGGATTTTCACATGATATCTCGCAGTTTTCAAATGCTGGGCTGGCAACTCTTTCAGGGAGAAGAGTCATGGCTAGAGGATGGAAAGAGGAGGAGGAGACTTTTCATTGTAGGTTGTTTTATAATTTGGACCATGTGAAGTTATTACTCAAAATGTAAATTAAATTTTTAAAATTAAGGTAAAATATTGGCAAACATTAAAAAGAAAATTCTAAACACTATGCAGGCCAAATTCAGCACATAGGTGACCAGGTTGCAAGATCGTTACAAAGGAATAACCATCCAGAGGAGGCAGTGAGCTCTCTGACATAGAAGGTCTAGTAAAGCCTGGGTGACTCTCAGGAATCTTACAGAAGGGATTCCTGCATTGACTGGGAGCTTGCAAAGATTATCTGTACAAAAGATTCTAGATTCTTATCTCACAGACAATTTCCTCTGCAGGTGACAAGTGAGAGTACAGTGGAAAATCACCTGCGATTGTAAACCAATCCTAGATTACAGTATAGCAAAGGGTCCTGCCAGCCATAGCTTCTTCCCACCACACAGCAGCCCCTGCTCCCAGGAACAGGGCTGATCTACACAGGTAGGACAGACACTCATCTTTAGTGTCATTTTGAATTTGGGGAAAAGTCCCTTTTACCCAAAAAGATTTCCCCGCATATGTGTGTCTGAAGTCTGAAATTTCTTCATGTTACACAAAATCTGTGCCCCAATTTTTTTTTCAAAATGAACAATGCTTGGGGCTGGGGTTGGTTCTGCAATTTTCCTAGCCGAGAATCTAGTAGCACAATTAGCCACTAGCTCCAGTAGGTGACTAGTTTAATGGCTAGATTTCCTCCCAGACTTGAAGGGGGGAGGGGTGACACTAGCAGGGAAACAGTGGGTGCTAGGTGGAGATGGACATGCTGAGAAAAGGGAGAATTCACTGAAGTCAAGCTTAACCACTAAATACACACACACACGCACACGCACACACGTGCACACACACAACGCACACATGCGCGCGCACACACGCACACACCACACACACATGCACACACCACACACACACGCACACCCTTTACTATATATATATATATATATATATATATATATATATATATATATAAACTATATAACTATTCAATCAAATTGCATAGCTTCTGCTCTGGAAATCTTCCCTAGGGCCTCCCAATCTGACAGCGTTCTCCCAACATGGACCTCTCTCCCCAGCCCTCCCACCTCCCTTCTGACACCTGGTAGAAACTCTTAGAAAACTTAAGGAAAAATTATATGATATCTAGTATTTCTGTGGTACTTAGCCAGGTTCTACAATATTATAGCTTCAACTGCTGATGTTTACAATACCTGGCAGCCGCTGAGTCTGTAGGTTGTGAATACTCAAGGTTTTCAGGTTTGTCACAGATGCAATATGCTGCTCGTCTTCTATGGTAAGAGGACTGGCTTCCACCATGAGGGAATGAATGTTCTTGCAGGTGCTGAGGACCAAACTGAGGCTTCCAGCCATGCCCGCACATCTCTTAATGTATAGTCTGAGGCTTGTAGCAGAGCTGAATATCTTTCCCAGATATTTGATATCTTTCTTATTCAACTTGCTGAAATCCCGGAGTGTAACCTCCAGAGTCTTGAATTCCTGCTTCCAGTTAAAGAACAGAGACACGGCCCTGCTGGAAATGTAGGTTCCTGAGGACCCATCCATGTGGGTCTTGCTTGTGTCCTCTGGGGTCTTGTTCTGCAAAGCTGCGGCTCCCCCATAGAAGTCCAGTTTAATGAAGTCCAGAGCACTTGCACAATTAGGCAAGTGTTCAAAGAAGTCAAATAAGTAATCAGGGATGTTCTCTGAGTTGATATATAAGCTTTTACCACGAAAGAAAGCTTCGAAGTCTTCACTCAGTGCTGATTTGGATATACTCTCCTGGAATAAACTGATGCCACACTCTGTAAAGGAATTGACGTTTACGGCTTTCAGAATCTCTTGCATAGCGGTGCTTTTTTCATTTTGCATAGATTCCTGCCTCCAGAGAGCCCTCTTGGGGATGGAAAGCCCAAGGAGGCTGCCGTGCTGACACACTGCTGCAAGGTGATTCAAAATAGCCTTGGTGGCTTCGGCAGATGACCCACATGTATACAGGAGCAGGTTGCTGTACTTGGATGTAATGTCTGAAATGGTAACCATTTTCTGCAAGTGATTGTTCCCCTCAGTCACCTCCTCTGGCTCTCGCGACATCAGTAAACTGCTGAGTCTGCGTCCTGCTACGTACTCCTGGAATGATTTATGAAAGAATTTATACTTTGGCTTGAACCTTTGAGCTGTGTATTTGCAGAGAAGTCCCGTCGTCAGTAGGACGTCCTCGTTCACGCTGGACACGTCCTCCGGTTCAAAATCAAACCTGTGGGAGAACACGCCCTCTAGAGCTAGGTCTCCACAGTGGTCCAAGCTCCGAGTAAAGTCACTTGCTGTCACCCCTTTACGTTTGTGCTTGTTTTTATGTATCAGCAAGTCGTAGAACGTACAGAACAGTGTTGTTTGTGTGTGAGAATGGAACTCACTTTCCCCCATCTGGATTGCACAAGTGATGACCACAAAGAGAGGGGTCTTCATCAGATTCCTCAAGCACCTGGATCTCTGAATTTGGAGTACCAAGCCTTCAGCAAGCTCCTTTATCAGCACTTCCCGGATGAGAACCTGGGCACTCTTCTCCGTCATATCCCCCAGCTCGGCAGTCAGGGCACCAAACTGCCTGATGTGCCTCAGGCACTCAGTGGTGGTGGTGACAATGACCATATTCTTGAAGCGGTGGTTTTCCTTTATCAGGGCTTCGATTTCTGGGCAGTTCTGGGCCTTGAATTCATTGTAACCATCCAGGAGAAAAAGAACCCTTTGCCGTAGCTTTAGCAGCATGGCCATGAAAGTCTGCTTCCTGATCGTGTCAGGTATGTCCACCAGTTGGTCACACAGGGTTTCAAAGAGTCCACCCTGGGCCCTGCTCAGACGGAGAAAGAAGACTAATTTGAATTTCGTCAGAGCCCTGCAGTTTCCGGAGGCCCAGAGCATGGCGACTCGCTGTAGCAGAGTGGACTTCCCTTTTCCCGATTCCCCTTCAATGATGCAGGGGCTCTGAAGGGTGTCCAGCAGACCGTTCAGGGTCAGCTGCTCCAGACGGTGATGGTGTTGGTCCTTCCTCCATAGGACAGGTTCTGTGAAGGTGCTTTTCAAATTGAAAATAATGTCAATATCTTCACCCAGGGGGTAGAAGTTCAGAAAAGAGGGGGTATGGTATAAATACTTTAAATCCTGAGCCAAATCATCTAAGTCTCCTTCTGACATCTGATGAAAAAGACCTGTGAGAGAAGAGGGGCGATTAAAAAGCACCCAGTTCTATGTCTCCCCAGAGTTCAGGAGGATGAAGGTGGGATAATGCTGGGAATCTGCCACTGGTTATTTTAATTTCCTTCCCCAATTCTGGGCCGGCACAAGGGGTTCCAGACATGTACTCCTGCTTTTGCCTGTCACCCTTTACCGTTCCTCCCCTTTTGCCTTCTGTTTCCTCCTTCCCACCACCAAAGCTTAGAACAGCTGAGTGCAAATGGGAGGAGCCTGTGTGCGGGTTAAAGAATGTGCATGGAATGGTGAGGCGATGGCTGAGAACGACGGCTGGGGGGAACTTTCAGCAGCTCAAGTCTTAACCTCGATTAAAATGACATGAAAAATTTACCAATTTAAAGAAATAAAAATCAAAATTAATATTTCATGAAAAGCACATGCTCCTTTTAGTCAGGCAGACTGTAGATCATGGAGCAGGTAGTCAGCTGGGCCACCCGCCCACAGACAGTCCTCATCAGACTGAGGAATGTTAAGAGCACTACTGCATCATGGACTTAAAGTGCCTTTATTATCCAGCGCGATTTTGAAGTGAGGCTGTACACTAAATCATTTATTCCCTGACCCTGGAGTTACTTACTGGCTTCATTATCACGTGATCTCATAGGAGTTTTTTTTCTGAGTGTGCCTGTGCTTTTCCTTAGCATGACCGAAGCCCACAGCCTGGTGACATGAAGAGGGAGGCGAGCCGAGGCTGTGTCATGGGGATTATGGATCTTTGTCATGATGTATTCTTATTGGTGGAACAGATACAAGCATACTGATACTTACTTTGTCCATTCAAGTCCTGAAACAGAGGATAGTTCCACTTTTCAAGGGATTTCAGAAAGAGGTTACAGGCTTCTGGACCCTTCTTCAAAATCATGTGGACGATCCCTCTTGCTGCATCCTGCTCCACCTTCTCACAGCAAATGATGTTTACTTCTTCAAAATTCAGAACATTCCATACAAAGAGCTCATCCACAACTTGCTTTATAACAGTCATTCCCATCCTTTGAATAAGGACTTGACTATTCTCCTTTAGGAAATTCACTGAGGAGATGGGAGAAGTATACATATTTATGTGTGTACATAATATGTGCATATGAGCATCATGTTGCAGGAGCATCAGGATTATGCATTTGTTTTCCTTTGGACCCATGTTGAGTTATGGAGATACCAAACACTTGAATTCCAGGCCCTAAAGAAAAGCTCTGCCATCTTATCCCCCAATATAAGAGGGTCCCCAGTGAGGTCGTAGTGGGCTTTCGAGTAAGGAGACTGGCCTCAGATCTGCCAGTCGCTACCACCTGTGTAAGCTTGGGAAGATGCTAAACCTCTGGGAGCCTATTCAATGCTGTGCTGCTAAGTGTTGAACACACTGGCTCTCTGGGGGGTAAAAGTCCTAATTCATAGCACTTACCAATCTCCTTGTTATAAATATTCCAACCATGGCTGATTTGAAGCTAATAATACATGCCAACTGGCTAACAAAAATCATGAAAATTCAACTATCAGGTCTCACAAAACAGTAAGAACCAGCTCCAGTACATCACTGGTTCCTTATCTGTACATTGGGGTTGAGAATAGTATTTAACTTATGAAGTTATGAGAATTCATGTATAGGATCTCAAACAAAGTAATAGCTCAGTACATGTTAGCTACTATTTTTAGTCATTATTCTGCTGTCACCACGCAAAGGAGTAACATATTTTAGCATTTGGTCTTTTGTGAAGAGTCTCACTGCAAAACAATTGTGTCCAGTATAAACCGTCTAACCTCTCGTAATCCCTGGGGAAGCTATGTCATGTCTGTGTCTGGCTCTCCAAGCTCTAACTCTGAAACACAGACCACCCTGTCCCCAGGCAGTCCATGACAGCTGGTCAAAACGTTTCCCTGGTTTTTCACTCTCAGACACTGTCTGCACTAGTTTTCTTCCTGGGCTAGGCCGCCCCTGGTTCTCAAATCTTTCTTGACTCATCCAAGTGGATTTGCTTCTTCCAAGGGCACTGAGGCCGCTCTGGTCTAAAATGCACCATCAAGCACTCCAGTCCCCACAATCCCACGCCAGCTTGCCTTTCTCTCTGTCACAAATCTCTACTGCTAACCTTGGCTGGATTATTACCACACCCCTGTCTACACGTCCTGTCGGCAAGTTTTTTCTCCCTCCTTCTGGGGTCTCATGTTTTCTCTTGGCTTCAACATCCTCCCTATGGAGAGGACCGATAAAGCTGGATCTAGTCACGGTCTTTATTTTACAGCTGAAGAAATGTTGCCTCAGAAAGACCAAGAGACCTCTAACGAGGCTTGTTCTTATTACTAATCATGGTATATCTTCCTGTGTATGGACTACCATACTCCTCTCTTATGAAGTAGTTAGGTGAAAACAATGTTCCTTATTCATTCATTCATTCAGTATTCATTCTTATCAGAATAATTTTATCTAAACCAGTGCTGTATAGAATTTTCTGAGATGAAGAACATGTTCTATATTTGTGCTGTCCAATAGAGTAGCCATTAGCCACACATGGCTATTGAGCACTTGAAATGTGGCTAGTGTGACTGTACAACTGAATTTTAAATTTTATTAATTTTTATTTATCTAAATTCACATTTCAATAGACAGATGGCAAGTGGCCATTATATTGGTTAGCACAGGTCTACATCCAGTAATCAAAGTGGAAAGAGTTACATTTTCATTGCCACTTAGATTTACACCATGTTTCTTCACAATGACCTTGACAGGTATAGCTCTCTGCTGTCTGGCTGAGAAGATATGGCTCAATAGGTGAGGCCAAGGACCAATATTTTAAAACATATACACCTGGTTATTATTTGCGTAAGTCCTATCCTGTCTGTGGTTCTGCCTTTTATTACAGGCTGTCACATTTGTTACTGAATTCTCAAAACCACAGAAGGATATTTATTGGGAATTCCATGTATAACTGGTCAGGGGAAGGCATGAATTGTTTTTCCATTCAATAGCATCAGTTTTTGGTAGCACACTATATAACCAGATAGATTTTACTTCTGGTATACTTACTTGTTCCAAATAAAAGCTTTCTACCCTTCTATATCTCAACAGACAGTATTATTTCCAAATGGACAGGTCAAAGAGGATCCCAATATTGTCCTCTTCTTTCGGTAAAACTGCTCCTCATTCTATAACAAAACAGAACCAGAAACAATCAGGCAGCAACCACTGTCACTTTTGTACTTACTCTTTTTTTCCACACCAAATACGGACACACTATACATAATATTCAACATCTATTTTTTTCATTTACTGTACTTTGGAGTCCTTTCCATATCAGTTATGTATTAAACTGCCTAATTTTTTAAATCAACCTCATTGAGTTATAACTAACAAGCAATGAAATGCAAGGAGCTTTGGCAGATGCACACACTCAAGTCAATAATCCCCCAGGTAAGATTTAGAATATTTCTATCACTGCAGAAAGGGCCCTGGTGCCCTGGTATAGTCCATCTCTGCTATTTCTCACCAAAACAACCACCGATCTGATTTCTTCAATGATAAATTAGTTTTGCCTGTTGTAGAAATTGATATAAATGGAAAAACGTAGTAGGTACTCTTGTGTCTAGCTCCTTTCACTCACCATCATGTTTTTGAGATTCACCTTGTTTCCATGTATCAGTCCTTTTTATGGCTGAGCAGTATTCCATTTTATGATCAGGTCAGTTTACTTATCAGTTTTCTATTGATAGACCTTTGGTTTGTTTCTAGTTTTTGGCTACTATGAATAAAGTTATGAACATCCATGTACAAGTATCTTTGTGGACATATGTTTTCATTTCTCTTGCATAAGTACCTAAAAGTGGAATTTCTGGGTCATATAGTTAAGTGTATGTCAATTTTATAGAAAGTGCCAAACTGTTTTTCAAAGGGATTTTACCATTTTATGTGCCCACCAGCATGTAAAACCAATAGTTCTAGCTGTTCCAAATCCTCACTAGCACTTGGTGTTACCCATCTTTTTAATTTTAGCCATTCTAGTAAGTGGGTAGTGGTATCTCATTATGAAGTTTTACGTTTTTTTGATGACCAATGATGTTGAGTGTGTTTTCATGTTGTTTGTTGTTTACTCATAAATATTTTGTGACGTATCTGTACAAATCTTTTGCCCATTTTACCAACTGGGTTCTTTTTTTATTGACTATTAAGAGTTCTTCATAGATTCTGGATGCAAATGTTTGTCAGATATATGTCTTATGAATATTTTCTTCTAATCTGTGGTTGCTTTTGATTGTACCTGGGATTTAATTTGTAGAGATAACTGAGTGACAAAATGGAGAGGCCAATGGCAGTGAAAGAAGTTTTATCACTTACAGTTCCTAAGAGAAGGAGGGTGCGCCACACCACACAGGGCCACACAGGGAAGTCCCAGAGTTGATCAGGGGGCAGAAGGCGCAAAGGAGGAAGCTTAGCCCAGAGCATCTCTTATGGTTTTCACAGGAAGGAATGGGTGAGGCAAGCTAGGAAAGTTGGAGCAAGTTTACGATTGCGTAGTTTGAATAATTTGGCAGACTCTGAGCTATATGGGTGGCCCTGGAATGATTTCAGGCAGGGAAAATATTGGCCTGGTGTGTGTGAGTTAGGATGAACTTGGTGTTTAGGGATATGGTCTTTGGATTGGTTGGTTTGCACATGAAAGGCATATTCACGGGCAAGTTTTCTGCTATCCCTAGGAATTAGCTAGCCCTGGGAAGGACAGTCTCTCCTAGCCAGCAAAGCCCCCACGATAGCAAAGAGTAATAAAATATAGAAAATAAAAAACATGATTAATACAATGGCTTCCCTATATTCTCTTACATCTTTTGAAAAGCAAATCATTTTCATTTTTATAAAGTCCAACTTATTAATTTTTTCTTCTTTGATTCCTGCTATTTGTGTCCTATCTACAAAATCACTGTTATCTTGAGCCACAAATTTTCACCTAAGTTTCTCTGTTAGCTTTTATACTTTTATCTTTTTGTTCATTGATCCATTTTGAGATCATTTTTGTTTATGATGTGAGATAAGGAGCTGAGGTTCATTTTTCCCCCTTAGGGATATCCAGTTTTTTCAGCATGATTACTTTAAAGAATATTCTTTACCCATAGCATTTGTTTCTATTTCTGAACTCTGTTCTGTTCCATTGATTTATTGGGTTGTTGGAAAAGTCATGATGCATTTTTGTAATGAAAAACAGAAAAAAGTATGTCATGACTTTTCCAACAACCCAATATATGCCTGTCCTTATACCAATATCACACTGTCTTGATTATTGTATCCTTATAATAAGTCTTGAAATAAGGTAGCTTAAATCTTTCAATTTTGTTTATCTTCAGAATTATTTACATTTTCATATAAATTTTAAAATTAATTTATTGATTTCTATTTTTAAAAGAAGCCTTCTTAAATTCTGGTTTCTGGTTTGACATGTAGGGAAGTCATTACTCCATCATAACTTCAAGTAAAAAAAGCTGAATAAACTGAAAATCAACAATTCTTTTTAGATCTATCAGGAAATTGAGGTGACAGGGCAAATTGCAGCCCCAAAATTTGAAAGACAGGTGGATACAGATAATCATAACTTACTGGAGCAGAAAACCACAAGGTGCAGAAACATATGAGCAAAAACATCTGAGGAACCAGAACTGGGGGGAGGAAATTCTAAACTGTAATTAAGGAATTGTTAGAGGCTCAGTGTGGACAGCCTGAGAGTTTTAAGAACTCCAGAAAGGGCCAGTCTTAGGAGGGCCCCCATGCTTTTGTGAGGTTTACCACTAGAAGCCCCACCAGGATATTACAGTGAAGATCAGAACAATCCCCTCGTGCTCCCAACAGAGGAAAGGGAAAAACCATTTTGAAATATACACAGAGCATTCTGTTTTTCTTAACAAGGCCTGCCCTCAAGAGAAATTACTTTACCAGAGCCTCAACTATGGGAATATTATCAGAACCCAGCTGACCTATGGGGAAGGAAATACCCAGGTTCAGCCTCCTCTAGCTTTACACATGGGGGAACAGTTTATTTATTTTACTACAGAGACATTTAAAAGTTACTACTATCAATCCTAAAGAAACAAAAGCATGGAAAACATGAAAAGTTCTGAAATATAGTGTGAACTAGAATATTTATAAATTTCTGCTAAACTTATTCTTACATTTAAGACTTTTAATAATTATTTTTTACCTGTTGCCTCATGTGAAAGAAACCTTTTGAAATTAAAATTTTTTTAAAGTATTCTTCATTCAACTATGAGCAAAGATATATTGACAATACTGGCAGTACTGCCTACTGAACACAAATATGCAAAACGATCAATTTCCTAGTCATTGACAAAGTTGCAAAAGGTAAGGCTGAGAAGAGATTTTACTGTTCATTATTATGCTGGACCAATATGTAGGTATACATTTTTCCTTTTTTTGTACTGCAGTATTTATTCTAGTTTGTTTATTTTTACTGCCATGTAAAAGAAAACTGTCATTACAAAACAACAATGAGATTTAAAAATGGATAAAGAACTTGAGTAGAATATTTCTCCAAAGACAATATACAAATGGCCAACAATCACATAAAAAAATGTTCAACATCATTAATCACTAGGGAAATGCAGATCACACCCACGATGAGATATCACCATGAACCCAACAGAATGGCTACCAAAATGGAAAATAACAAGTGTTGGCCAGGATATCGTGAAATTGGAACCTTTATGCACTGCTGGTAGGAATATAAAATGGTATAGCTGTTATGGAAAACAGTATGGAGATTCAAAAAATTAAAAATAGAATTACCATATGATCCAGCAATTTCACTCCTGGGTAAATAAATAAAACATTGAGAGCAAGACCTTGAAGAGATATTTGCTCAGCCATATTCATAGCAGCATGATTCGTGAGAGCCAAGAGGCAGAATCAACTCAATTGTTAACCAACAGATGAATGGATAAAATGTGATATATACATAAAATAGATATCATTCAGCCTTAAAAAGGACAAATCCTGTCACAAGCTACAATGTGGATTAACCTAAGGGCATTATGCCCAATGAAATAAGCTAGTCCCAAAAGGGCAAATACTGTGTGATTCCACTTGTATGCAGTACCTTCAGTAGTCAGTCAAATTCATAGAGACAAAAAAGTAGTATGGTGGTTGCCAGAGGTTTGGGGGAGGGGAAAATAGGGAGTAGTTGTTTAATGGATATAGAGTTTTAATTTTGCAAGAAGCAAAAGCTCTGGAGATTGATTGTACAACAATGGAAATATACATAACAGCACTTAAACTGGCTGAGATGGTAAATTTTATGTGTATTATACCACAATTTTTTAAAAAATGTAATTACTATCATTAATTTTGTTATATGATTATTATTGAAAATAACATTGTATAAAGGAGGAGGGTTTTTGAAATGATTTGTTTAAATGTCGAATATGCTAGGTACATCCAGCCAAGACACAAATAGTCACACTCTTAAGGCCAACTTTTCATCACTGGAAAAATAAATTAAGGTCAAAATGGAACTTCATGTTGGCACCAAAGAACTGGCCCCAGTGCATCTTTGTGAAGAGCCAGAGGATCTGAGACTTTCAAAGACGAAAGAAACAAGAAAAGCTGTCAAAGGAAAAAAGAATGTCTTGTAAGTCAGTTTTTCAAACTGGTCAACTCATTAGCGGGTCATGACAACAACTTAAGTGGGGTAAAATTAGCATATTTTAAAAAATGAAATAAATTAAAACATCAGAATGCACCGTATTTTTTTCATGAAAGTTTTGTTTCAGTTAATTATATATCCTGCCACTGCATAGTGATGTAAGATGTATTTCTTGTTATGAGTTGAGGTCAATAAAAGCTTGAAGGTCAGTGTGCTAGGGCACGGGTCAGCAAACTGCAGCTCACGAGCCACATGTGGCTCTTTGGGTACATACATATGGCTCTGAAGAAAAATTGAAAATGAAAATAAAACTATCATAGTTTCATTTATAAAATTTTTAAAGGATATTAGTCACATAATGGTGATTTCTTTTTTTTTTTTTAGCCATCCGGGTGGCAGCTCAGCTCAAGATGCTGACTTCAGTCTTAGCCTGCGGGTGGACATAGCCCACCATCAAACAGGCAGTCTTGTTCAAACAGGCAGTCTTGTTGTTAGGAGCATGTGCTCTCACCAGCTGAGCCATCCTGCCACCTGTTGGCAGCTCAGCAGCTGCTCAGCTCTGGCCAGGACTCGAACTGCTGTCTTAACCAACTGAGCCACTCAGCCAGCCCAGAGCTTGCACTCTTAAGCTAACTCAACCAACTGAGCCACTCGGCCGGCCCTGATTTCATTTGGTTTATGGCTCTCCAATAATTTTTAAATTGTTGTGAGGAACAGGATTGGCTCTTCTGTCTCAAAAGTTTGCCAACCTCTGTTCTAGGGCAACCCCATGGAGGGATATTTAATTCTGCCTGGAAGAGGTGACTCTTGAGTTGTTCTTGAAGGAAATCAAAGTTCACCAAGAATTTTGGTGGAACAGGCTACTTCTAGGCAGAGGACACAGCATAGGGAAAGAGTCTGAATACCAGGATTTGGGACAGCACCTGTTGTCAACAAGGGCCTATTTTGATGTCAGCATCAAGTTCAAATTTCAGTTCTACCACTCACAAGCTGGGAGTATTCGACTGGTACACAGAAATGACTCGGTAAGTAGCAGCTACTACAGATTTTTCCCTCCCTTTCTATGCCCCAAAAAGGAGTGGGTCTGAGAAGAATCAGACCCCTACTGACTGGGTCAGAGTTTAAGTGACAACAGAGAAAAGAGGAAGAAGATAGAGGAAGGAGCCAAGCAGTTCCTTATATTCTCTTGTAAACAGAATAAACTAGTCCTAGAGTTGGTCATGTAGTCACTTTGTCTGCTAAAACAGTCGATAAAAATTGCTATATGGATCACCAGGGAGGAATCTTAGCTGATTTTGAACATGCTAAAAATTCATATTCAGCTTGGATACTGGTAGTATTCTTCCTACCCACAGAAAGGCTATGACCAGATCAGGGAACCAAGTCAGAGAAAATTGACTGGTTAGTTATTAATTGTTCTTGAGGATAAAATCAACCTATAGTGTGAAGCTCAGGTAGTCCCACTGGCATAAAGGACAGAGTTGTGACCAGTTTGCTCCCCTGGATCGTGGCTGTGAACACGTCCCCACCTCCTTAAGCAAGCTGTCCAGCAAATAATTGAATTGCATGGAAGAAGTCTTTTTCTTTTTTTTTTAATAAGAATTCTTTTTTCAACATTTGTACTTTGGACAATAATATTTAGAACTACAGTAATTCTAAAAATGGACATTTTTTTCCAAATGGTTACATGAGCTCCTTAGAAAACTGAAGTTCCTCTGGAGCCATATAACCCACATCTATGGATTCATTCCCACAGCTTATAGATGAAATGATGGAAAAGTCATATACAATATAATGGGAGCAGAGAGGTGGCACACGTAAGTGGAAAGTGTGTGAGCTTTGGCACTGCAGTCCTGAATTCAAATCCTCACTCTGTGGTTTATTAGATGAGTACCCCTCCCTTACCGAGTCTTAACTTATTTTGTCTGAAACACTGACATAATATGCATCTCCTCAGACTGTTGTGAAGATTAAAAGGGGAAAGTGATTCAGACAGAGGTGATCAATGGGTGCTATCTGTCTTCCTTTCTAGTAAAAAGGCTCTCGACTAGAATGTTCTTAGATCTCCAACAGATTCCAGAAATCTCACATATTATTGTTAATATTAGTGGTCCCCAAAACCCATATGTTGAAGCCTTAGGCCCCTTAGGACAGGACTGTATTTGGAAACAGGGCCTTTAAAGAGGTAATTAGGTTAAAATGAGGTTGTAAGGGTGGGTCGTAATCCAATCTGACTGGTGTCCTTAACAAGACATGAGATTTGTACACACAGATGCTCCAGAGATGCAAGCTCAGAGGAGAGACCATGTGAGGACACAGTGAGAAGGCAGATGTCTGCAAGCCAAGGAGAACAGCCTCAGGAGGCCACCTCAGGAGAAATCAAACCTGTCGACACTTTGAGCTTGGACTTCTAGCCTGCAGAACTGTGAGAAAATAACTTTCTGTTGATTAAGCCAGCAGTCTGTGGCATTTTGTTATGGCAGCCCAAGCAGACTAAATACAGTTAGTAGTACAAAAGTGTGCTGAACTGTAAGATAGCAATGACAGGAGACGGGTTCTAGCCTAGTTCTATAGACAATGACCTGCCTGGCCCCTCGTCAACCCATTTTCCATCCCTCTAAACAGGGTTGTAGGGGGCCGGCCGAGTAGCGCGATGGTTAAGAACTGGCTTGGGATGCCAGAGGGCCCCGGTTCGGATCCCACATATGAGGGCCAGTGACACTGCCCTCCACAGCTAAGATGCTGAACAACAGCTCGACGTGGAGCTGGGCTACCGTGAGTCGCCGGCGACGGCATAGGCTGCAGCCCCTGCGGCAGTGGGTTGCCATGGGCTACCGTGTGTAGCCAGCAGCCAGCGTGAGCGGCCAGCAGCCGCAGTGAGCGGCCGTCCAGAAGCCAGCGACTGATCTGCCTCGCCCGGGAAGAGTGCAATGATGGTGCCAACTTGGGCCAGTGAAGCAACGTCCTCCACAACTAGACTGAAGAACAAGACAACAGCAACTTGTCTGTTCCCCTTCCCCCCAGTTCCCCACCACTGTTCCCATCCCCCCAATTCCCCAATAAAAATCTTTAAAAAATAAAAAAATAAAAATAATAAACAGGGTTGTAGGATTAATTGAGATAAAGTATATAAAGACCTGACAACATTAGGTGTCCTGTAAACAGTAACTTCCTTTACTTCTCTCTCCAGATACCGGGTTTTTCACCAGTAATTCAGGGGATTGGGTGAACTGAGTGGTCCCTCTATGTCTTTTCAGCTCACCTTGTGCGATTCTGACAACAGTTTTAGGAACAAGAGTAGGTTTCCTTCCCATAAGCCCAACATGTATTTTCGAAGTCCTTTCTCTCCCTTTGTCTCACAGTAAACACAAATCCACTTCTCTGAATGTACATTTAAACATCAACTCTAAGGAACCTAATGAAACCCGACTGGGCCAGACTGACTACCCCTACAATTTCCCTGCAGGCAAATCCAACCAGCCAAGCAAAACCAGTTATAGTCTTCAGTGTTAAGGCTTTTATACCTCCCAGACACAAGCTTTAAAGGAATATAAACCCAAATTTTAATATTTGGTTCCAAAACCTACTTAAAACCCCATTCTCTCTCTCCACAGTACCTGGCTGAGCAATCCAGTTACCCTCTTCTTGGTGGATCAGAAGACGCTTTTAAAATTAAGTTTCTTTTCATTTGCTTTTGGTTTCAGAGTAAGGTCCAGTGTCACGTAGATCTGAGGTCTTCCTTTTTTGTGGCCAGGGATTGTAAGAGAAGCACAAACACAGACAAGTGGTTTTTTAAAATTTTTTTCAAAGCATAGTAAGAATGGTTTGGACACAAGTACTACCTATTCAGAAAGGGAAGATGAGTTTAAGTAGCAGTAGGCAGAGAAAGAAGTATAACTTGACCCTTAAAGCTGCAAAAGCTAGAAATTTACATTAGGAAAGGAATTACTCATTTGTTTCCTATTTGTTCTCGACATAGGAATCCTATTGCTGTTGGTTTATTTATTCTACAGCTTTAAATGAAACAAAGTATTTTGAATATTTACTTCGTATTATTTTTATGATTAACTAAGAGAGAGAGACAGAGCAATGAAATGAGCTGGTTTGGTTGGTTAAAGCATATTGCTACTGCGGTCAAAATCATGCTTACCACCTGTACCTTGGATCCTGGCAGACTTCTAGCACATGCACACTCTCGGTCACCAGGGTCCTGGGAAAGTTAGCACACAGCAGATGGATCACCACTATCAATCCACTCCACTTACGATGCATGGTGCATTCTCCTGAATACAAACAGCCACCAACTCCCACTGGCACACACAATTTCAAAGTGGTGGTAACAAACCCCAGGAAGCCAGTTTACACCAAGCTCTGGAAATGTTGAAATTTCGTACTTCTCTTTTTTTTTTTCAAAGATTTTTATTGGGAAATTGGGGGAATGGGAACAGACAAGTTGTCGTTTTGTTCTTCAGTCTAGTTGTGGAGGACGTTGCTTCACTGGCCCAAGTTGGCACCATCATTGCGCTCTTCCCG